ACATATTACTGATAGCACATGCATTATATTATTGCTATAAAGTACGTATGCTACGTTATCTTCATTTTCAATTTATTATCGACATCATGTTACTTCACTATAGCACCACTATTACAGTAAGTTGTGCAAGCATATTACTTGCTATAATACATGATAGGCACTCTACATATTATATCATGGAAAAATGTGATATGTCATTATTCACTTTATGGTCATGAGTAATTTGAGGAACAAATGGATCCCAATTTGTTTTATATATTTGCGTGGAGATATGTTGTATTACAAGTTGGTTTAGTCCATGTTATAGAGGAGATGTTGTCAAAATTTTGATAAATTATATGCATTATCTATCTTTTGAGGCAATTCGTAAGTCCTCGCTTATTCAGGCTCGCACATATTTTCTAAGACAGTTCGTAAGTCCTCACTTATGGAAGTAATTTATATTCTCGAGGCAATTCGTAAGTCTTTGCCTATTTGGGATCAATGCATATTTTTAAGGTAGCTCGTAAGCTCTCATTTATTGGAGTTGTTCATATTTTTTAGGCAATTTGTAAAACCTCGGCTACTGATGCTTGTATTTTAAAGTCCAACCTACACATGAATGACTCGGACTTGGAGGATTATTGTTACACCTATAAATTAGGTGACATGTTCAGACGGAAGGGGTCCCATATATGCCGAAGTGGCATGACTATTCAATTGTTTGGGCATATTTAATTAAACAATCGTATCTTGAGCTTGGATTTGGGCCCATTTCACTAAACCCACTTGGCTCATTTACATTTTCCTATATATAAATGAGTTTTATTCATAATAAAGTATGTTCACTTTAACTCTAGCCAAATCCCCTCTCTCATCTCTTGCACTCATTTCCCTCTTGTTCGGCAGTTAACTTGACCTTCGGAGTATAAACAATCGTCGGACTCTTTTTCTCAACCGGCGATCTTTGCCTCATAATAGGGTGTTCTAGTGTGCAGGTGATGTCTATGTGGTCGGGATTCTGTTGACACATTTTTTTAGGTCAACGAGTATTGAAAAGTTTGGTTTGTGCAATTGATCCAAATATGTTTCAAGGCTAATAATTTTTTGGATGTCATTTGTGGTGCATTCTATATCTTTTCTAGTGCTCGAATGAGCAGGCAAAATATTGAGATATACAATGAGAGACTCACTTTCATACGAAGTACAAGGCTTTCTTTGTGCTTTATTATGATGATTGCAATACTTCCAACTATTTAGTAATATAACTAGTCTTTAGTTAAATATGTAGAGAGTCCATAAATATAAACAAAGATGTGTATAGATCCCATGTAAGCAGTTAACAGCTTCTTTGACGACTCTAGAGTCATGCATTCTTGTTAGACCAAATGACGACATTATAAATATCTCTTCTTCCTAGAAATAATTAGAACCTCGTACATTTTTACTATATATTTCTAGCAAGCTATAAATCAAAATGTTTCTCAAGTCAGTTGTGAACTTGGTCACTGGTATAGATTGGTGTGACTGTTGCCTATAGCATTTCTCATTGGAGTTGTACCAATGTTGTTTCAATTTCTTAATAGTGCGGTCGTGCAATGGTTACAACGTGACTTTCTCATAGGTGGCCATGTCAATTGAACTCAGTGCATTAGTCTTCATTTCACATTTTATTGCACTAATGAGAGACAAAGATCTGATTTCATGCTTAATGTTTTGTGTAGAGCGATCATATGGTTTTTGCCTCGCCAGGATGCCGAAAATAAACTTTCTTTGTCTTCAGAAAATAAGATTTTTTCTGAAGACATTATGCTTTTTCCAATCAGTTTATCTTTCGTCATTTAGAATCTTCCACTAGCATTGGTTTTTTCCTCAAACTTGCTATAACTAATGGGGTTGCTCGACATTCGGAAGTTGCTTAGATAAAATTATTGTGTTTCATGATTTATACCCATGAAGATGTAGCTTAATAATTGCACTGTTTCACATAGAGTAATCATATTATATTTGGTTTTTAAACTACTTTTTTCTTTCGTTTGGGTTAATTTGAATTAAATATTTGATTATTGCATCAATATTATATGACAAGTTGTACAGAATAATAAATTGTATAACTGATCGTCCATAATATCCCTATATCAATCATTTCAAATATCTGTCAAAGTATCCTGTGGAATGCCAAACAGTTTCAGCCATCCTTATATTGTATTGGAGATACTATTAGATAATTGCTAGGTTCTTCCAATTACAGAGCCCCCACCCTAAAAAAAGACCATACTGCTCTATTATGAGACTTGAAAAAAATCCTTCTCCGGATATAGATGCTAAGAAATCACGTATATAAACAAAATGATATTGGATATGTCAGCATTTAATAAACTGTTTCATTGCTAGAAGCATTGGGGAAAGTGAAAGATTTCCTAAGCACGTTATCAGAATCAAACGAAAGTTTGATGAAAGAAGCCAAGGTATAATTAGTAGTGAACCGAAGATTGGAATTTTCTAGTTTTGATCTAAATATTCATTTTTGATCCTTCTCTTGACAAAATACAGTACAATCCTGAAAATTATGACATGAAAGTCATGAGTGGAAGAGAATCTGAACGCATTGAAATAGTAAAGGCCGTCTTCTTTTATTTGTTGATGGTAGAGGAGCACGACAGCAAATTTTACAACTGATTATTGGATGCATACGTTTACCGGACTTGATGCTGGGTGTTGCCGATCTTCATAACCCAGAGACCATTGCTGCTACAGAGTCTGCAATAAGTCACGGGACTAGTTTCGTTACACTCGAACAATTAGAAACTGTGCGGCCTTCACGTTCCAAATTCCCGATCCTCTCGAGAAAACGTTAAGTCAGCATTTCAACACTCACAAATAATTTAACCAACTAGGCTAAATTAAAATAACTTTGAGTCGAGTACTTGAAGTAAGGAAAATATGGGAAACAAGTATTGTCGGGGGAAACTCTCTTTGTATATAAAATAACTCCACACCAATGAAATCTAATTACAAATGAGACTACGTCTCCATTTATAGGCAAAAATCTTGCCAGTGCCTTGGTATTTGCCTCATTGCAAGTGGCATCTCTCTACACCCCACATGTGGACATGTCTCTTTCATGGTGGCAAAATTGATTTTTGCTTCTTTCTTGGCACTCTCTTGCAAGTGGACAGTAGTGGGAAAGTTGGACAACTAACTTCCCCAAAATATCCAGTTGCAGCCCATGATATTTCCCTTACTAGTATGGCAGTATTCTGCCTTAGAAAACCAGCCTGCATTGCTGGGAAAACTGCCCATGCTTGCAGCCTACTTGCTGTATATTGCTTTGTGTCCTGCCTTAACTGCAGCTTGTGTGCACATGCTGCCTGCGCCTTGCCATGACTGCAGCATGTGTCCTGCCATGTCCTAACAGTGTCCTGTGTGCTGCCTGCGATGTCTACCTGCGTTGCGTCATGTCGCAATGCCTGCATGCACACCAGAATTTCCTAGCCGCAACCTGGACATGACACTGCGACCAGGGACATCTGTCATTTCCCCACCAAATTAGGCGACGCCCTCATCTCCATGTACCGCTGAAGTTAGACCGACTTAACCATAGGTCTACTTCATTTTTCCACTTTGTGTCATGACATTCCCGTGCCATGCTAGATCTCAAGTCATTACCTTGCGATCCGTAACAAGTAGCTGGTTATCAACCAATAATTCCTTTGGCTGTAGAGAGTAGCAGCGGGTCACAGTCTAAAGATAGGAGTGATGATGATGATGATGATGATGAACGCAACAATGACATTTAGGACAAAAAAGAAAAAGAAGCTGGCAAACATTCTGCAAAATTTAGTTATGAGGTTGTTGAAAAGGATTCCAATAATACATTGAGGAATCAAAAATCAAGGAAACGTCTGAAGATTGTTGAGCGTTTTTAGATTACGAGGAATTGTAGATAACTATTAACTTTCACTGGGAAAAAAAGAAAAAGTCAAGGAAAACTGTCCGTCGACCAGGAATTTCAGTTGGGAGAAATTTACAAGACGAGTGACTCAGCTCATGATCGTGTGTTCTTAATATTGTCTTCCTCCCCCGTCTCTCTCTCAAGTGGTACTTTTTTCTTGTGGTTTTATATTTGTTGCCAAAAATACTATACTAGAGATAAGACTGAAAGCGCTATTTTTGGCTCAAGATATCAAACTTAGAATAACGATATATAGCACCAATTTAGATGTTGATCACATTGTTCATTGTCCATTCAACCTACGAGTCTAATCTGTTGGGATATTATTTCTATTTGCATGTAGTTTATACAAATGTGCACATTAGTGCATCACAGAAGATGTGAGGATTGGGCAGCATACAAATTATAGCATTTTGATGTTCTAGTTTATTTTCGGCACTTGACAAAATGAATGAAATAAAATTGACAATATGAATGCATAAAGTTGAGATTATGCCAACTTGAATAATTAGTTTGACAAGAGGCGAAAATAAGAAGAAATATTTAAAAAAAGATCCGTACAGTATCTTGACAATATGAATGCATAAATTGTGCCAAATTTCAGGTTGTTCAATGATATTTGAACTTTAGTTGACATTAAAATTTCTTCACGACTGCAGTGTTTTTGCAGATTTTAGATGTTTATACAGCAGAATTTAACATTCATGAAACAGAGAACCATTTCACAGATACGGCAATCAGAGAGAGAGAGAGAGAGAGAGCAACTCTAGATCGAAAATCTTTCATATATGAATCTGGCTGTTGCATATGTATGCGTGTGTGTATATATATATCATTGACCACAACATTTAACTCCAGTTGCTTTAGGAACCCGTTACAGACCTTTCTCATTACAAACACATGAACAGATGATGCTGACTGCAGACTATGTTTTCATCATCACCAACAAGACTTCTAATAGTTACAGTTAAATTTTCTATGTAGACGAGATAATCAGGAGACAACTGCTTTGTATGAGGATTTAAGCATCAAAGCAGAAAACTTCACGGTTGTACCCATTGGCAGATTAGAATAACTGGAAAAATAGACTAGTAGATCCATCACCAAATGATCTGAGATCCATAGGTTTCACCAAAGCCCGGCATAAAGGACATGTACGTTCTCTCTCAAACCTGGAAGCAGAAGATAGTCAGCTACTCAACATGGAAACGAATAGTAAGGGCACATTTGGAATAGCTTCTGCTTTTTTGTAAAAGCCCTTCCTGACGAAGCCATTTTGGGTCAGCTTCCTCTAAAAGTTTCTACTAATTATTCATAAGGACCCAAGGACAGCTTCTTATTCTCAGAAGCCACTTTCGGATTTTCAAAAGCCAAAAGCCATGCTAGATAGGCTCTAAAACTTGTGGGAGGACTAAACTGAAGGACATGATTAATTTCTTTACTTTTTTCTTTCAGAAACTGGAAAAATATCAAAAAGGAAGTTCATATTGGATATTTCATCTGAGGATACAACCAAAATCCTAAAAATGAAAAATAAGCAATCCATGCAGGTAACGACTTCACTTTGCAATACAGACAAGTCCATAGCAATGATAAAAGAGAAGAGGGAAAGCAGAACTTATATCAAGAATGTGGTAATTGATTTAACATTCACTTGCTTTTAGTATTTTATTATCTACTACCTACCTTTCTGAGCAAGTTTTTTTATCCTAAAATATGATTGAGAGATTAAGATCCATACCTACTAAATTTCCCCTTAAACCTTGCATTAGGAATAAAACATTAAGGCGGGTAGCATTAAGATGGATATTCTCTGTTTAATGGTGAAACACAATACTAGAGAAGCATAGAAGTATTTGAAAATAAAAAAGTTATAACAATATTTTAAGCTAAGCTTAAAAAAGTAAAGTTATTTTCAGTAAACATCCAAAAGTATGTTTGGATAACTTACTTTTCAATAATAATAAAAAAAAAGGTTACTTTTTAAGTAAAGCTACTTTTTAAGTAAATATTTTGCCTACAAACATGCCAGCATAACACACTTTTCTTTAATTTAAGTTTAAAAAATTAGTGCTTTCCTGAAGTGAGCTTAAAAAGGTAAAGTTATTTTTTAAGTAACTTTTTTGCCGACACATATGGACAATAACTTACTTTTCTCCTACATTCAAGTAAAAAAGTTGTTTTTTTTAAAGCAAGCTTAAGCCTCACAATTGGCATTTAAGGCATGAGCATTGAGGCATTCAATGAAAGTTGCACGTGAGATGAGACTTCAGGCCCAAGCCTCAAAAATTTTTTATAAAAAAATAGCAAGGAATACAACCTCCATTTTATATTCTAATGGGCTACCACACCAGTCATAGGTTTCACGCACACAACAGCATGAATGAGACTAGAAAATTAGGTCTTTATAAGAAAAAAACTTGATGTTTCAATTCTCGATTTCTGTTGGCCTAAGCACATCATACTTCTAATGACATTTTGGGTTCAGGGTTTCATAAATTCTCCTAGTTGTTTCCCCTGCATAAAATTAAGCTTCAAAGAAAAACTAAAATTAAAATTGTTTTAGAGTCGAAAACATTTTTGTAAGTCTTGAACAATCAAATGCAGGATAATATTCAATATGGGTGTCAGATTTATCCGCTTCTCCAATTCCTCATACTACACCTTTAGCCAAATATTACTTAAATGATCTAGTCTTTCAACAAGTACAACATGAAGGGCCTCAAAGTCTACAGAAACCAGTAAGTAATACATCCCATCCTCGCCTACCTTCTCAGCCTCGCCTAATAAGCATTTAAGAAATAGATAATCCTTTGGTAAGATGTTGAGCTGTCAAATTTTAGAAACAAGGCAGTACAGGAACAAATTAACCACCCATTCCGTTGCTTAGACTGAATAGCATTATCATGGCAGGAAATAGAAATTCTAAACAAATTTAGAGTCAGAAAACTAACCACTCAGACACGCAATCCTCACAAAATATGTGTCTACAACGTAATAAGATTGGAACGTGCATTTTTTCCTGACAAATGGCACACAAATCCCCTGCTGCATTAACCTGCATTAGATTACACAAATATATTGAAAAATTTGCGTTTACAATTGATAACACTAATTAAGGCATAAATCATAAAAGCAATAAATGAACATGACACTAAATTGAGCACATGACACGGGGCCTCTTGCAAGAAAATTGACAAAAGTACCAAAATAAGACAACGCTGCAGGTGCAACAATAAGATGAAACTGCTGAGACATCAAGAGCTCATTGGCAAAATAAGCAGTGCAAGAAGTTACAATAACATACATCTGAAGCACACATGAATCAACCATATTGACCAAACAAGGAGGCATCTCCTTCCATTAACGGGCTAGAAAGCTAGGAAACATCTGCTCTTTGTAATGAAAGTAGTGATGAAAATAATTAACACTACAAGGGATAACAGATGTACCATTATCTGGGCTAGAAATTAAACAAGAAATTTTGCTCCAAACCTTCTTATACAACTCAAAAGACTAAAAATAAGCACATCAAAACACTGAGCAGAGTTAGGAAACCTGTTCAGATGTTGCATAAGCTCCATAATGGATATCTTTACAGGACACTGCTTTCAAGGCAGTAAAGAAAGATTGAATCTGAAAAATACAAAATGAGAAATGCAAAAATTAAAGGTTTGATACTTGGATAGAACTTCAAAAATAAGAACAAAATAATCTGATACATAACTACATAAAAATAAAAGATTGCAAAGCAGAACCGTGAACAGAAGACAGCTCTAACAAAGTTATTACCTTCTCAATAATAGATGTGAGTTTGAAAGTCAAGTATAACCCGGTCATCAGTGATGAGAAAAGGCTTCCATATTCTTTGTTCAGAAAGAAACGATACCATACCGGAGCCGGCAGCAAAGCACGGTAAAGCAGCAGTAGGTACTCAACCAAAGTCAGCATTTGACCCTTTTAATTACACGTCTCTTCATCAGATGACAATCTCAAAGAGCATTAAATGGCATAATTTACCAAAATCTTTAGCATATTTATTAGTGGGACAGACGCATACCTGCCTACGATAGTTTCGGCCTCTGCTGTTCTTGTAATACATCAACAGAGAGCACTTGAAGATCATTGCAGCCTGACGGACCAGTGTATCTGGGGAAAGAATCAGATTCGGGAAATTAGTTAAAACTGCAGGCAAATGACTGTATGCAAAAGAAGAAAAATTACAGTGACCAAATTACATAAACACACCATTCACCATGATAATGAATAGAGCATGCCAGAAAGGTGGTATAGCCTTTGGAGGAAGCATCACCAATGGATATAGAAGATTATCACTCCAGTACCACCAGTAAACCCCAACCACATGAAGCACGAAGAGAATAACAATGCCAATGAGAACAGACACTTTCCTCTCACCCTGTGGAGATAAAAAAAAACCACTTCTTGCTTAACACTAAATTTTATGAAAATACAGACCAAAGGCGGGCTCCAGATTTCTGGTTCAGCAAATCACTCCTAAAAGAGAATGCAAATATATAGGGGTATCCAATGGTACCTTAAGAGCTGTCTGTTTCCGTAAAAAATCGTTTGACTTGAACATAACAGCAGCAATCCAAATGGTAACAACGAAACCTGCAGATATAGCTATAAATTAAATACAGATTCTGATATAATACAAAAGAAAACAAAATATAACAGATTCTTTATAAAGTCCATTGTCAACCTCAAACATTGAAAATGCAAGGATAGGAACCAACATCCCCAAAAAAATTACAAAGTAGAGAGCAAAGTGCCACCTAAAAATCTAAGAAAAGCAAAATAGCATATACAGTGGGCTTCTTGGTGGTTTGGAAGCCATGTAGAACAGAAAATCTAGGATGTACATTATAATGAGAGTAAAAACATATAAGACATGAAGAACAAGGGGAGCATTTTCCTCAAAATACAAAATGAAAAAATCGGATCTTCTTTCCCTCATGTTTGAAGCCAACAAATCTGACTGCAGCCATTGACTATGTTTGGATAAATGCCAAAGGGAAACCAAAAGGAAAAATAAAAGAAAAAAAAAATGTAAACTTAAAATTCTCTAGCTACCTCTATTATTGTACAACATGCCAGCTGCTTGTAACTTTTAGAGATGTAGATGAGAGTAAAATAATGTTAAGGACATGCCTCCCCATATGTGCACAAGTGTTCTCTTACTGATCTTGGATATAGAAGACAAAATGGATTTCATAATCATGTGACAAAGATTTTTCAGCCATTTAATTCCTATATAGCGAACTCTACATGATTATCATTCACTCTAAATAAAAATATGTATGAAATTGTCACCCGTAGCAAAACCTAAAGAAAAAAGTAGCGGCCCCCACACAAACTACATTCAAAACGATAGTATATAGCTTTTACACGATATATTAGTCAAATAAATGGTCTCTGGCTTTTACACGATATATTTGTCAGGATCAGGAGAGTAATCACAGTAATAAAATATCATTGAAGAATCTACATTACATTATAAAATACATAAACTGTGGTGTACATGGACATGAAAGCAGAATATATTCAGACACCCAAAAGATTGACTACTTATAGCGAAAATGAAAGGACCTGACAGCTTCAACGTGAAGCAAAAGAATATCATTTTTTGACAACGCGGAAAAGTCAAATAAATGAATTCAAGTAAAATATCTCCATTTAAATGGGGGAATGAGTGGTGCGCTTACTGAAAGGAGAAAAGTAAAAGAAAGAAAAAGAACCTTGCAAGTGCTGACGAATGAAAACTACCAACAGAAGCAATGTGAAAGGAAGGACCTGCTCGATCCACCGAGCAGCCTGCTGTATATCATATCTCTGGTAAGAAGAATCCCTTCTATTACCCCCAACTCCCTCAGCAGCCTCGGGATCACCACTTGCATTCACGGGCGAAACACCCCCTGCCTCACCATCATTCCTCAAATCCACTTGACTCTCCGACGACGCCACTGAAACCTCAGAACCTGACCTTAAAATCTGCCGCACAAAGGCTTCATTTTGCCCACTCAGCTGGCCAACTGTCGGTGACGAAGGCAACACATTCCCCACCCTGTCATGCTCATGTTCACTAGCACCAATTATTCTAATGGAAACTTCTCCTTCACCACTACCAACATTAGCTGCTGGGGACACTGCAGAGTCTTCAAGACGAAAGTGCATGTGATCTCGATAACCAACAGAGGCCCCAGTGTTTAATAAAGCGTCGGATTCTGATTGAGTGGACCTGGTCCTTATAATACCAGTGTATTCCAACAACGTGGACAATGGGGATCGTAGAATTCTATAGGCAGTTAAAGTCATTCCAAGTCTTCTAGAATGAGGAGAGCTAGCCGTAGAAGAAACACCCCTGTAAGCGTCCGAATTTCCGCCGGACGCTTCCATTTGAGTCGCTGCCCTAACCCTAACCCTAATCAAGAGTCACATACCGAAGGGTTCAAATTCAATGCAATCGGAATAAACAACGCATAATCAACGGAATTTATATAAATAGACATGCAAACAAGGGAGAATAATAAGAATGATAAAATAACGAAAATATATCACAAAGATGAGGGGATCGTGAAAGAACGAAATTATACCTTAGAGATCGAAACTCCGTGGATGATCCTTACTAATCAAAGAAAAGAAGGATGATTCATTGAGACAGAAAACCCTAAAAATGATGTAGAACAAAATGGGTGATGGGAATAATCAAAGAAAGTGTGTGTTGGAATGAGGTGTTGACACCAGTATTATCGTTTCGCCGAAGCGGAGGAGGCCAGGGTGGTTCGCTTTGTGCGTTTCTCTCTCTTTTCCTCCTCCTCCGTTAGCTTGGCATTTGGAAGAGCGCGAGAAGAGAGACAGAGCAATGGAATTGTTGAATTGAATAAAAAAAATAATTCAATTGTACAAGTCCTCCTTTTTGTGTGGCGCAGATGAACCTGTCTTGTTTACATACTTCCGCACCTCGTGTGGTGTGGAGTGACCGGCGAGTAATGTTTATTTGGCTAAGCTCTGTTTGGAACAACTTAAAATCAGATTTTAATTTAAGTCAAAATCAAACAAACAATATTAACCACATCTTTTATGGGTCCCACAACTTTTCAACCACTAATTTCAAAAACCTCTATCAAAATCTACTAAAAATCTAATTTTAATCCCCACAAAATACATATTTAAAGTATTAGAATTTTGGCTCAATTTCTTCAGCCATGATTTTTAGATGGCCAGAGCAAACCATCCAATCACCATATAAAATTAACTTACTAAGAGTATGTTTGGTAGGGATTTTTGGGAGAAGAATTGATTTTTGAATAGTTCCAATTTTATTTTTTTTGAAAAACGCAAATGAGTCCCAAATAAATTATTAAAAGGGTAATTAGCAAATAATATTACTATCTTTCACTATTATTGCTAAAAGTATCCCTACGTTTTATTTATTTTTTGGCATTTTCACCCTTAATTAAACATTTGACAGTTCAAACCATCATTTCTATCCATTTTTATCCAATTTCTCAATAAAAAGTTATGAAATGACGAATATATCATCATATTTAAATAAAAAAGCTAAAAATTTAATTGCAACTATAGTTCCAAATTTTTTAAAAAAGTGCAAACGAGTCCCCAATAAATTATTTACAAATTTAATTTTTTTTTTAAAAAAGTGCAAATAAGTCCCAAATAAAAAAAATAGAAATTAAAAAATATATTTTTTATTTAAATATGAGGGTACATTTATTATTTCACAATCATTTATTGAGAAATTAGATGAAAATAGATGAAAATGATGGTTTGCACAATCAAAAGTGTAATTAAGAGTGAAAATGTAAACAAGAAAAAAAAAGGTAGGGACGTTTGTTGCAATAAAGATGAAAGGTATGGACATTATGTATAAATTACCCTTTTAATAATTTATTTGAAACTTATTTGTGTTTTTAAAAAAAAATTGGGACTATGATTGCAATTATTTTTTTCATTTTCTTTTTGTTATATTTAAAGAGAATGATATATTTGTCATTTCACAATTTTAAATTGAGAAAATAGATGAAAAGAACATTTTGCATAATGAAAGGTGAAAATAAGAGTAAAAATATCAAAAAATGAAAGATATGGACGTTTTCCACAATAACAATGAAATGTGAAGATGTTATGTGCTAATTACCATTTTTCAAATCCTCACATATAAAGGTAAAATGATAACCACGAAGGAGCTTTTAATGGCCTAACTAAGTACTTACTTCCTTAGATCTTCTCATTTGTTCTTCATAAGAACCTCTCTTTTGAGAAATATAGCCCCTGTTTGGGTCACATTATTTTTTTATTCTTATTCTTCTATTCATTTTCAACCACACATTCTTTAATAAAATAATATTTTCTATCATATCAATAACTTTTCCTTCTTTTTCAACCACATATTCCCCATCACACCACTTCAAAAAAAATGTATTCTCTCATAGTAATGTGTACTAAATGGGCTCATAATATGAAAATGTGACTTAACCATAGAACTTGAGAAATGTGCCCACAAATGTGATATTTATAATACTCAATTAGGATTTCATAATTGCACAAATTTCTTTGAACTTTATTGCAATAGATCAATTAAGTTAACACACCTTTATTAGAGTTAAAAGAAGGACCTAATCAAACTCACAAGATTCAAGCTCCAAAAGATGTTTCTAATTGAGTTAATTCTTGACCAATTGAGATACATATATTAATCATAGCTTATTCACCCAAAAAAGCAATATTGCACTCTCGAGGCAAGTGATAGCTACGAAAGCAAATTATGACGAGATAACAATATTCTCCGATTATTGTTCTACAAGTCAACTCCCATTTAACCTTTAATATGTTGAAACCGATAAAATGACTATTTTGCCATTCAACATGTATTACCATGTAAGTCCCATTTTTATAAGGAGAATTCGTTTGTGATCAAACGACAACGTGACAACGTAAAGTCCAACGATCTCATTGTCAAACTACTAAGCTCAAGTTCAATTGCCTATAGAAATAATTTAGAGTGATGATCGTCTCATCATGATAATTAATGAATTCCACTATCGCAAGTATATGATCTCTAACTATTTCGACCGAATTCTCAAAGCACCGCATCAATATTCTAATTAAAACTTCACTTATTGGTACCTCAAAAAACTTGAGCTATCAATCAAATGTATATTACTCACTCAGGATTTAGGCGATTTATTTGATAATCGAATAGAATCTCATTTCGAACGGTCACAAATTAACTAGCAATCAAAAGTACATTACTCGCTCAGAATTTAGGTGACTTGTTTGATAATCGAGTATAGTCTCATCCTGAACGATCACAAATGAGTCATCTACGCGGGTCCGTTCAATGTGCATCAAAAATACATTATTGTTCTTATCAAGGCGAGTGATAGCTACGAAAGCAAATTATTACAAGATAACAATATTCTCTGATTATCGTTTTACAAGTCAACTCCCGTTTAACCTTCAATATGTTGAAACCGATAAAATGACTTTTTTTGCCATTCAACATGTAGTACCATGTAAGTCCCATTTTTATAAGGCGAATTCGTTTGTGATTAAACGACAACATCAAGTCCAACGATCTCATCGTCAAACTACTGAGCTCAAGTTCAATTGCCTATAGAAATAATTTAGAGTGATGATCGTCTCATCATGATAATTAATGAACTCCACTATTGCAAGTATATGATTTCTAACTATTTTGATCGGATTCTCAAAGCACCGACATCAATATTCTAATTAAAATTTCACTTATTGATACCTCAAAAATCTTGAGCTATCAATCAAATGTACATTACTTGCTCAGAATTTGGGCGAATTATTTGATAATCGAATATAATCTCATTTCGAACGGTCACAAATGAGTCATCTATGAGATCCCGTTCAATGTGCATCAAAAACACATTATCATTCTTATTCTCAAATCTAGACAAATCTCAATAAGAATAATGTAATATTATCAACATAAAGCGTCCAACTTTATGTACCGAATGTGAAAAACATATTTTGATCATGCCATGAATTGCGTCTCCCCGAACCATCGAGTATACAATTTGTGACATCCTCTATGATTATGGAACCTTAGATAGTTGTTTCAAATTGTAACATGTGAATAATCGAACGTTAAATTCATAACGTCGTTTTATTAAAAAACTACTCGAAAAGGCATCAAACTAACATGATAATTCACTATTGCTTCTTATCCTCTTAATCATGGATATCACAACGTAAAAAACAGTAATGATCGATAAAGCCGACTCACGGAAAATTCTCAACACTGATAAATGAGGAAGCAGAGAGTCAACTGGCCTACTTGAAAACGAAGTCGAGACATAAGGCACACGATTAATGCAAGAGATAGAAGTGCTTATATCAATTCTTGTGCTGAACCCCTGCAGAAAGCATTATTCAGCCGAAAGCTGTGAAGTCTAAGGGGGGAAACAGACATTGGAGTCTCAAAAGAAGTTCAAGCAAGGAATCAGATCAACAAAGTACCGCTATCAAGAAGTGGATATTAATTCAAGCGTTTCACAAGGATCAAATTCGGTGATGAGTTTTGAAGATAAGCCGGTTTTAGGTGAATTGACAGTCGACAGCTGAAACAGATTTCAGCATCTTCTAACCCAAGAAAGTCACCTAGTCAAACACTAAACCTACCCTCACCGGACATGAATTAACACGAATATAGCAAATAAACATAATTAAGACTTCGAAAAAATTTCATAAATATAAAGAAGAACAATACTAGTAAGTAGTAAAACTCATTTTCGTTAACTAAAAATAAGGTCAAAACAACAAACTCTGATGTATTGATTAGAGCTCATCCTCCATTCTCAAGTACTCCCCAATATCGGCAAGGTGATGCACCACAATCCCATTGGGATCCATTTTCCTACAATCCTGCGTGCTCTTCGCTGCAACCCCGAATCCCAACGGCACATCCGCCATGGAGTACACCACCACCCCATCATTCACCAGAATATTCTCCGTAATCCTCCCCACCCCACCTTTCAACACCCTGTTCCCATACAAAAAGCTCATTTCAGATGTAGGCTTCAGCCACACCTTGTGCTTGGCACTTGCAGCCAACAAATTCAACCCCTGAATCGTCAAGTGAAATTTATCACTCTTGGTGAATTTTCCAATCTGGGTTCCCATCGATACCAATTTTTCGCGCTTGATGTTGGTGGCGCGTTTGACTAACGACTCCGATACGTAGTAGACTCGGTTCTTCTGGAGGCGGAAGCAGTAGCGTCCCGGGTTCAGGTCGGGTCCTTCATGAGACGGGTTTTCCATTACAATTTTCTGTAGATTGTTTCCCACAAATTTGTGTAGCTTATCGAAAACTAGGGTCGTCTCCTTCTCGTCCAGCGGCCTCATTGTGGCGATGTGGTTGTTCAGCCTCTCTCTCTCACCACCAATATGGGAGCTGGGCTCTATCGGAAGATAATCGAATGGGATTTTTAGGGTAAAAAAGGTGGAATTAATTGGGCTACACATAATGCAGAATGCCCAATCTAAATTAACGAACCAATTGGGCAGCTAGCCTACTTGGATCTTAACCTTTGTAGCACTTAAGGCTGGACAAAACTAACGAATCGAATCGAATCGAATCGAATCAAATCGAATTAGCGATTTTTCATAAGTTAAATATCCGAACGGGTATTTGAATCGAGAACCGATGAGTTCGGTTCAGTTCTAGACCAAGAACCGATGAACCAATAAGAACCGAATCTAAACAATTTTTTTATATTGAATTAATTAAATTTTTTTAATTTTTTCTAAACAACTTATCAAATTAACTAATTTAGTTATTAGAGCTCCAACTCCCAAACTAAATCCATGCCTAGCTAGTCTAGCCCAACCCAATTACATCCTACTAGAATTTTAATTTTTTCATTTCAAATTTAAGATTTACAATTTTTTTTTTCAAAAATCAGATGATAATTCAAATTTTAAATTTTAATAATTATATTACATTATTATTAAAAAAATTAAATTAATTTATATACCCAACCCATCTAACCTACCGATTTCAAAACCCTAAACCCTTTTCATTTCTTTTCTCTACCTTCTCTATTTACTTTCTATCCTCCCTCTACCTTCTCTCTATTGGTGAGCGGCGATGACACTCTCTCCCTCTCTCGATTTTCACTCTCTATGGGCGAGACTCTCTCTCCCTACCTCGATTATCAAAACAACGAAGTGACGCTAAACACAGCAGCAACGTAACGTCCGTTTGCATCAGAGTTGAGCTATCGCGAATGGCAGCTATACCTGAAAATTAGCTTGGTTTATTCATCTTTTCATGCGCATTAGAAACTAGATTTGGCAGTTGTTTGGGGTGGTGTGGGTAGCGTGACGGCAATTTCCTAGTTGTGACGATTGGTTGGTGGCGTCAGCGCCATGGTTGTGGCTACGGTGATTGAATGGTTTTATTCGATTAACTTATGGTGGTGGCGGTGCACGGGCAACCGTGGTTCAAAACAGCAGTCTGGTTGTGAAATGATGGGGGTTTGGCCGGATTTGGTGGCGATCTGCAGTAGCAACGATCTGGTCGTTAATGATGGGGGTTTGGGCAAATCTGGTGGTGCTGCGATAGTAAGAAGGGGTTGGGGGTGGCGGTGGTGTGATGGTTGGGTGAGTTCTGCAATGTTGTGGATATGGCGGTGGTGGTTCGGCGTGTGGCGGTATTGGTGGCATTGCTACTGATGACAGTAGTGAGGAGCTGGTGACAAGTGTTTGTGGTAGTCACAAATGATTTGCTTGGCTGTGACCTTTAAATTGGGTAACTCGTGACCAATCAACAATATGTGTTGGTGGTGATCACAAATGATTGGCTTGACTGTGACCTTTAAATTAGTTAACTCGTGACCAATCAACAATATGTAACCATTAAAAAAAAGATAAATTGTGACAAAAAAATGTGCGATTTAAAAAATTGTTAATTTGTGATCGATAATTTAACAATTTGTGACTGTCTATTAAATTGTGACTTATAATATTTGTGATTTGTGATCGATGAACAAATTGTCACATAAAGGGGCCAATTGAGGCTTCCTACCCTTCTACCAAACTGTAGAAGAGCAGAGGTAGGAGACAGAAAACGGTGCCGTTGAAGGAGCTGTCGGCCACTTTGTCAATACACAGCAACAGCTATGACTGGGTTGGCAGCATCAATAACCACTGTCGTCATGCGTTCCCATTGGTGGGTCGCTTTCTCTCGCTGCATGACGCGTGTCTAACCGTCTGCTACAAATCCACCATCCTATATTTACCATCTTCATTTTTTTAACTGTCAACTACTTTTAAAATTCACTGCAAAACTCTTCTTTTTCTATTCATTTTATTTCTGAGTAACAGCGAAGTCAAAGATATTTTTATTGTTGAAAGTTTTCGCTGTAAAATGGTAAACAATTGAATGAAAGGGATTTTAGGGATTCTGTTTCTGCACATTTCAGTGAATTTTCAGTACTTATTTACTCCCTTTTAATTGAAGCAAACCCTTTTTTTTGAGTTCTCTGTTTCTCTCTCTGCCTGCCTCTTCTTCTAATACTCTTACTAAACCCTAAGAGCCTGAAGCCGTTGCTTGACTTACTATGTCGGGTATTTACAATTCCAACTTTTCTCCTGCAAGATCTGTGTCTTCACAGATTCGAAACACTCCAGATGTGGACAGGTAAATTTTTCTTGAGATTTCTTTCCTTTTTTTTTTGTTTTTTAATCTGGCTTCTTGAATAGTTTGGATGAATTTAATCGATGTTGAGGTTTCATTTCTTCTTTTGTTTCATGTTGAAATATCTTAGTAATCAGTACTTGTCAGAGCTATTGGCGGAGCATCAAAAACTTGGGCCTTTCATACAGGTGCTTCCCTATTGTAGCAGACTCTTGAATCAAGGTGATTTTTTTTCTTTTTACACAGGTCATTGATACTTACTTCTCGTATGTGTTGGATCTAGGTCGTGTGGGTTCCTATGAGTTTTAATTGCATCTGGGAGAATTCACAGTGATTGTTTTGCTTCTGTGTGATCTGAACATTTTCGAGTTACAGCAATAGACAACCTTATGGTACTTCCCAGTGGATGGCTAGCTGTTCTTGGCTGTAATTCAACAATCACCTATAAAGTCACTGCATTTTCATTGTGGAATTGCACCTCGAACCATTGTTGTATGATTGGTTTTGATTTCTGGATGGAGCATTAGCTGTGCCCTTGGTAATGAAATCAAAACATTATGTATTTCATTGCATTCGAACAATTTACATATGATCCTTTTTGGTGGCAACCAATATTCTTGAACTTAATAATCGATGCATATCTATATTTTTTTTGATATGGTTGATGCACACGTGTTTCTTGAAATGTCTATTTGAAACAATAACTATTGGCTAAATTTGCAGAAGTTATGTTAGAGAACCTAACTATCTGACCTTTATTCTGGATCGGTCCAATTTTATGGAAAAACCTATTTGTGTGATCTATCATTTTTCAGAGGTTTTGTTTTGCTGATTTTGAAGTGTCATCTTACCATTGCCCTATATTTGTATCTTTACAGAGATAGTACGGGTTTCCAGGATTATGCCAAACCAAGGTTTTGGTGAACTTGATAGACTGAGACATAGAAGTCCCAGTCCCATGTCTTCATCAAACCTTTTATCAAATGTTGCTGGCACAGGGTTAGCTGGTTGGAATGGACTTACGCAGGAGGTAATTAGTTTTCTGATTCTTTGTTTGCTTCTATTATCTATATTATATGTCAATCAATGTAGTTATGTGAGATTTTTTTTCCTAATTAAGCAGAATGCAATAGAAATGCAATGCCATTGTACTGAAAACAAAGATGAAACTGCTATATTCTTGCACCTTTGATATCAGTGTAGGTTGCTTAAGTGAATGTCAGTATCATATCTAGTGTTATAGAAAAAAGAGACAGAGAAAGGGGAGAGGGAGAGGGAGAGGGAGAGGGAGGAGGCTTAATATATATACATGTACAGGTCTCATTATTCGGCAATAGTAGTCCTATTTGTATGTTATAAATCCCTAACTATAACGGAAACTTATTTAACTTACAAGAGAAAATTTCTGAACTTATAGACTAATAATTTTGCTTGGAATAAATTAATTTTTAGAAAGATTCTACAGGCTTTAGGAATTCATGAAATTCTCCCTTCTTTTTGCACTCAGTAAATGGGGTAGTGATTATCAAAACTCTCAATTAATTATCTATTAAAAGCGGCTGCTTGCGGTGTGTGAATTTTAGTAGCAATTTTATGTGGCTTTGTGTTAGGAAATATACCTGTAGTACTTTTTTGGTATTTCCTGCCAACCTTGTGAGTCCTTTCCTGCCTTGTCTCTGATGTACATTTACTTTATGCGTGATCATTTTGTCAATATAAATATTGTCAAAAGGTTTGTGGGGATGCATGATGAATTTGATTATATGCCTGTCATCAAAGTTTTTGAACTTGGTTTGATTTGTTTTTGCAGCTACTTAATTTTTATACAGAGGACAGGACATAACTATTCTTTTAGATGTTCCTGTAATTTTATATTTTTTAAATGTTTAACAGGACATAACTTTATTTTGTCAATAACTCATTTGTTTTGGAAAAGTTAATCCTTATATTTTGTAGTTCTATGCTGTCTTACTAAGATTGTTCCTCACATCTATGCCGAGATGCTGCCTCTCTTTTTCTTTCTTTTGGGATTTCTTTTTCATTTTTTATGTTTTAAAATAAATAAAATACTTATTCTTCTTTTTATGGCAGAGACTGAGTGGACCTACGGGGATGACAATGGACTGGCAAGGAGCACCAGCAAGTCCGAGTTCATACACTGTGAAACGGATTGTTCGCCTAGAAATTCCTGTAGATAATTATCCAAATGTAAGATTGTTTGTTATTCTAATATTTCTAAGAACGTTCATTAGTTACTGGTCCTTTTTCATTTCTTAAAACTAGAGTGCTTCTCATTACATTACTATCTGTATTACTACTTTGTGGATTCTTAGTTCAATTTTGTTGGGCGGCTTTTGGGTCCTAGAGGTAATTCACTAAAGCGAGTGGAAGCCACTACAGGATGCCGCGTGTATATTAGAGGAGAGGGCTCAATAAAGGATTCGGACAAGGTAATGCAAGGGCTTTCCCTATGTGATGCATTTTTGTGGTGTTATTAATATTTGTAAAGATTAATTCTGAAGTAGCTATATAGTTGATTGAAAACCTGTGAATGATGGACACAACAAAAGGGTCAAGAGGGGACATTTTGGAATTCTTTTTATCAAAGTAGGCTCCTTTGTATGTACCCAAATAGGCAAGTCCACGTTAGAGCCATTATTGGTTATATTTAGTTATGATTTTTAAAATTTTAGTATCGTACTAG